CCACTGGTGGCAAATCTCACATCCCGGGCTGGAGCAAAGACACAGCCATGTGAAGTACTGGAAATGATGGGGCTGCTAAAGTATATCAGAGCAAAGAAATAACATAGACTAAGAAAAACACAATAGTTTATATGGAGAGGCAGATATAGTCTATTCAGCCTTTAAGGCAGACTCAGTGAAACCCAGACTGAAATGCAAGCCATATTCTGTAGTGTGAGGGTTACTCATGCAGTGTTGAAAACATCACAGAGACGCTTAGAAAACATCACTGTTTTCTTTCCAATTTGCACTTCCAAGTAAAAAGTTAAACTCTGGGTTCTTAGTTCCCACATTAAAATTATTATCTACTGAGGAGGCAATTACAAATGTCTGTCTCCAAAAATCGTTGCCTCTATCTAAGTATAGTTACATATATAACTATACATTTCCGTATCTACCTACTGATATCTGTTTCCCATTGTTTCTACAAATATCATTATACCCAGCTCCGTATTCAGTCGTTCTTATAGACTTTGTCTCAATCACTGCGGGGAAAAAATGTTTTAGGATGCAGGATTTCTGAATGTTAAATAAGAGAGTCAGAAACTATTGTATCGAGGAGCAGAGCAGGGTCATGGTAAAACAAAAAGAAAAAGGAAAAAAAGCTAAATCACTTTATAAAAGTATGAAAAAACACAGAGGCACTTTTTGAAAACAGCATCAGTAGCCAGTTTTAAGACTAACTGGATGCCAAATTAAGGGAGTCTGCTGCACCACAGAACTCAACTCAGATACTCCAGGCAAAATTCAGTAAGAGCGCAGATAGGAGAAGCTTGGTTGTTACTCTATTAATTCAAGCTTCTCAAAGTTAACTTACTTCTTACATACTAAAGCCATTGCAGATGAGACACAAACAGGAAACAGAGTGTCAACATCTCTATGTCAAATGGATCGTTTTTAAAGTTCTGCACTATGTATGCTTTCCACAATCACACCCCTCTGTTACGACTGATTGATTGAACATACTTCTAAAAGCAGAAAAACAGCGGAGGTTTCTGTTAACATTGGGGTCAGTATAGGGTTCATTCATCAGTTTTGATGCATTTATGTATTCCAGTTTTGGGCTTGACGTAGACACACAGTTGGGCAGATTTTATGACTACTAGACTGTAGAGATTAGTGTGAAGCATTTATTCAAGTGCTCTACTGAATCAGAGCCATGAAAGTGGACATCTGGCTTTAAGTGGATCCTGTAAGGCTTTGCTGAAAAGCAGTGAGCTTTTGGAAGTGCTTTGCTGAATTGCCTTAATTTATAAACCTCACTTTAAGGGGGAAAAAAAAGTTAATAAATATACTATTGCTGGTTTTCTGAATCAAGAAATGTCTTTGCCTGAAATCTGGAACAGCAAGGAAAATCTAAGATAAATTAGGGTTCTGCCACATTTGAAGTAACAATAGAGTCCAGAGGCATACTTGAAAGATAATATCTGTTTCAGAGGCAGATACCAATTCATCTCTATGAGTAAGAGATTGGAAAAGTACTATTTAAGTAAGGGGTGGGTTCTCACAAGAACAGCAGATATACAAATGCCAACACTATCTTTGAGACTACCTACCTCACGTTAAACTAACCCCAGGTTTCTATGATCAATTCATCCTTAATTCACCATCTCAGCCCAAGCAATTTAAGAAACACTATCAGTTACTTGCAACAGTATCTAGGGACAAGACAAGCATCTTAGCCCACCACATTCACAGCTTTCCGCATCCTTCCACCACTGGGGCATTTGAAAGCACTGTCAGGCTCACAATATCAATCCCCTTAAACTCTATGAACTCAAATGTTGACCTCTCTTAAATAGACTATGTCCCTTAGAGTTATGGAGAAAGCTAGAACTAGGTTACGCTTGGTCTTGCCATGGTGAAGAGAGATGCTATTCACAGGAGGGAGGAAGACACACAGTGCAGAAAAGTGGTCCCCAAATGAGCCAAATGAGAGTGGAAAGGTCACCTGGAAGCCTGGAGTACCACGTTCAAGGTCCTTGAACTTTATGCGTGTGTTCTCCACAGCTGGTATGCTTGATAAGGGGAGCCATTTCATTTATTCCTCAACTTCTGCCCTGAAAAAAGTATCATCCTAAGTATTATCTTTTCCAATAAGTAAATAGATTAACAGTTGTGAGCTGTTCAGATACTACAGTGAAGGGACCATACACACCTGAGATGGGTAGAATAAGTCTGGAAAGTCACCCATAGCTCTCAAGTTGCCTCTGCTGTCACGGCTCACGTCCCTACACTGGCACTCAAAAGCTACCATTTGTCAGCAGTATTCTCAAAAGGATGGCTGTGAGACAGGCAATACCTGCCTTCTTCAAAAGCAGTAGTTTATGTACTGCTCATATTCATTAAACATCTGGAAGAGATCCTACAGGTAAGCAATGAAAACACAAGTGAGAATACCTACAAAGTGGAATAATGCCTCAGTGTAAATACACCTATCAACATCATCCAATATGGTACGGACATGCTGTCCTACACTTCACTCCTAGCACGTCCACAGAAGACAAGATTTTTCAGCAAATCTCTGACTGACAGCGTGCAAGGGGCTGTTTCTTCCACCAGAGTGTCAGTATAACCAGTGTGCATTACGTATAGTAAGCGTTCACGTATGAGGCACAGCACATTAATGTGAAAAGCTTTTCCAAGACTTTTTCATAGGCAAGGGGGAAGTGATAATCACTAGTGATTCTTTGAATCATTTGTGTTGAATGTAGGTCTCGTTCTGTATCTCCCCCTCACCGGAACATCCTGATAGCACGCTAACGAGCTCGTGCTGATGAATGCCATTTGTTTAACGTGTTTCCAAAGATAGGTATTACTAAGGCAGAACTGCCTGATTTATTCAGAGACATGTTTTGACTTGAGTTGTACACATATTTAGAGGAAGAAATTTTGATAAATGTAAGTAACTGTCCTTTCAGATGTAACAAACAATAAGGAGTTAGCATTCGCAGAGGCTTAAGTCCTCACAAACAGATCTGTTTTCATTGTCTGCATGTCAGGATTATCAGTTAGTGTCTCCAACTTGGAATGATTTAATTACTAGTCTCACCAAAAGAGTGATCACTTACTAGTCAGAGGGGGCCCTATGGCTTTGGGGACTCAGGAAGATGACCCAAAGAGTTAAGGGCAGGAAGGCTATGGATGACTGAACTAGCTACTTGGCAGTAGGAAGTACAGAAATACAAAGTGTTTCTTTTGGAAGCCATTAATAGCAATCATGGAGGTGGGGGCTGATTTATTTATTCTCATTGGCCTTTTTATGCACATATTTGAAAATATGCTATTTTCAAAGGCATCTCAAATGTCCAGCAATCATAGAGAACGTCATCATATTTTCAGAAGAATTCCCTGGGCCATGACCAACACCTTTACAAATCCCTGTGGTGAGATAAGAACAAGAAGCAGTGACATGAAAACACAGCTCTATGCCGTACTGCCATTTTACTACAGAATTTTAAATTATTAATCTCTGTTGAATAAGTATTTAATATACTAAGAACATGCATGTCAGCATGACAGAGTAACATAAGCATAGACTTTCAAAAGTGATCTTTCTCATGGTGCAGAACACACCGTGTTTTGGATAGATTTCTTCTAAGGTCAGAGACAGAAAACTGATCATTTAGGGCAACATAGGGCTACACCAAAGACCCAACAGCTCATCACACGTTGGACACTGTTTATTCTATGTTGAAACCCTCCATTTTAAAGCATTTACTTCTTCCATTTTCACTTTTGCATACTGCCTGAAACACAGCTGAGAGGTAGCTATATGACCTTGCTTCTCCCTCCTGGGACCAAGGGGGAGCTTCTCTGTCCCTCAAGTCTGGGAAAACTACCACTGACAAGTTATCTAGTAAGATTATTCCTATGAGCAATCTTTCCTCTCCTCATAGGCCAGTACAGGATAGGATCACTGCCCAAGTATGGTAACTGCGCTAGAATTTGGTTTTCAGTCAAAAATATTCCTGCCATTTAGCCATCATCTCTTTGGTATTTGAGCACCAATAGGCCTGATGTAGGTAAAATTCCCTTCCTAGTCCCAGCTAGCACAGCATTTACCTCCTTATTTACCTCCTTTGCCTAGAGGCAAAGTATGCACCAGGCATTTAGTTTCTACAAGGTACAATGTATCTGAAAAGAACAAATTAAATTACACACATTGAATTCTGTAAAAACGTTACACGGCAACAAAATTACACTAAATAAATAAGATTAAACAGAACACTCCAGCACTCCCTTTAACAACCCAAAAGTGGCATTCAGGCATGTGCTCTAAGTCAAGCACTGATCTATGTGGGGAGACTGCTGTGTAACTAAAACTGCCAGAGGGATCACACCACTAAGCAAGGTGCTAAAACATGTCAGCAGCCAAGCCCAACCTTCAAAAGTGCTCAGCAACCTGCAGCTTCCACAGATGTTAGGATGCCATCTCCAGCTCTTCCAGAAAGAGCCAGCCATCCATCAGACTCTGTTGTTTTGACTTCAGGGAATCGCACAGAAGAGCGATGCTTTTTGGATGAAAGCCAGAGAAAGGCCAAAATGCTAACAACTGCATGAAATCTATAATTTCATGCTGTGTTGAACTCGCTGGCTGCCCTTACTGCACTTAGGTTTCGCAAAAATTATTTACTAGTGAATGTGGATTTTTTTGTTGGATTGCATCTACGGCAGACATACAAAATAGAATTAAAAGAAATAATGGAGCTGATAAGCAGCAAATATGCAGCCTATTTTGCAGATTTTATTTTGCACAATTTTATTTTGAGATAGTATGAATGTTTCTTGTCAAACATTAAATTCAATGTCAGAAGTTACAAGTTATTCACCAAATGGACGACACTGTTGGTGTCACACAAGCACTACCAGTGACTGACCTGAAATCAGTGTTAAAGCACTAAAAAACAGCGTAAGGATTATTCAGTGAAAATACATAATTAGGACACTTCCCTCCGAAATAGTATTGTATAAATCTTTATTTTTTAATCAGTGTAAAACATCTCAACATTGTTGTTGGTTTGCGCTCTAGCCCCAACTAAAAATATACACAAGTAATTCTGACATGTAGTACACGTTTATATTACATTCTGAAAACCCCAAATTCTGTCTTCTTAGTAGGTGCATTTAGTGCTGCGCTGAGACTGAGGCCCAAAACCAGTCTTGTGTCAGCTGGATCAATAATTCCATCATCCCATAATCTAGGGGAAAAAAAACCAATAATAATTAAAGGAAATTAATGTATATAGTTTACAGTAGGTAGGTTTTCAAGCATACAAAACTGACAATAGTTGTACTAAAGAGAGGACTACAGAGCTAAATTATGCCCCAAGACATGGGGTTAATTCACCTTAACATCAATGCAATACATTGATGTGTATTCTTTTACTCATGTAATTTTTCTTCGGGACCAACGTATAAACTCTAGCTAAAGGGGCTATGTCAAATCTACAGATTTTAAATGAGATTTTTCACACTTCTTTTAATATGAAGTCATCATCCTAGAGAAACAAGAACTCGTTTGTTTTTCAATATTCAAATGGAAATCAATCTTTTGTTAAGGAATTATCCTCTTGTATTAAGAATGCTGGAATTTTAGGACCAAGTCACATCATTATTTATGCTATTGAGACTATTTCAGTTGCCAAATGAGGATGATTCAAGTGTGTGTGCTTTCATCATTAAAGACTTACAGTAAATTTTTATGCATTTCCAATAACTACTTTATTTCTTCTGAAGTCCATTTCTAAACTATATAAGCTAATACCCTCCTTAGTACAGCCCTGAAGGCAATTAAAATATGAAGGTATGCCATGTCAAAAACTCTGAGCAAATACCAAATTCCCAAGTCCCCAAACTCACTACCATTTGCAAGCAGTCTCTTTGATATTATCAAAAAATTAAAGTACCTGTGGCATCAGTTATATCCTACAGCTCTATCCTACTCAAAATAAAACCCATCTTAAAATCCCCAGCAGTCCACAGAATTGTTAATATTGTACATCTACTACCTGCCCAGCAATCATTAATACAGCAATAGGTAAACAAGGCACTACACTTATTGTTGCAACTCCAGTCCTGCTTAAACCAGCATACATTTTAACCAGGGCCTGCACGAACATATGCCCAG